CTTGTAAGTGCAGTGGCAGGCTATATTGAATGTACAGCCAAAGTAAAGTATTTTAGATATTTAATTCAGTACTAAAAAGAGGCCACTTCTTACAATATATTATCCTCAATGTGCTAATTTTAATAACTAGAAAGGTATGTGAATCTTAGATTTTTCTTTTCCACAGTAAGCTATTTAGCTGACCCATAATGGAACTAACCAGAAAAGGAAATGTTTGCCTTTGGGAACTTAGAAAGAAAAACATTCATGTTTACACCCAAAGTTATTACTAACAAATGAGTAGTCGGCTAAAAAGCTAAGCTGTGTTATCAACACCCTATCCCTTGTCCTTAAAATTGATTAAAGGGCAGCTGTTCATCTTAAGGAAAATGTTAAGTCATGTAGACCCTTAAAAATGGTTTGTTTTAATTTGCATTAATAAGTTTAATAATCAAATCATTAGTTGAAACGAAAAGGCTAATTTTAATTTTAAATATTTTATCTGCTAACCCCTTCTATTTCCTCCAATGTTTACCCTTTTCCTTTCCTTTTCTTTTCTTTTTTTGGAGACAGTCTCACCCTGTCGCCCAGGCTGGAGTACAATGGCATGATTTCGATTCACTGCAACCCCCGACTCCTTAGTCCAAGTGATTCTCCCGCCTCAACCTCCCAAGTAGCTAGGATTACAGGCATGCAACACCATGTCTGACTAATTTTTTTTGTTATCTTTAGGAGAGACGGGGTTTCACCATGTTGGCCAGGCTGGTCTCAAACTCCTGACCTCCTGATCTGCCCGCTTTGAACAGGTTGAACTCTGTACTAGAGGCAATGGCGAGCCACCAAAGCTTTCTGAGCAAACCCAAGCTGTGTTTGAACAAGACTGCCTTTGAGTCCAACCAAGAGGTAGCAGGACAATAACACAGAGGAAAGGAGGGAATGAATGCAGAGACATTACAGAGGTGGAAACATCAGAACTTGGGGAGCTGCTGCTTGGAGATGAAGTAGATGGAACTGATGATGACTGAGGAAAATTTTAGGTAAGCCAAGTGCTTTCTCAGTGCCTGACACTAGGCCAAGCACCACAGCATATCCAAGAATTTAAGAGTCATTCAGTCAACATAATAATAGAGCATCTATATGTGCCAAGTACTTTTAACAATCCTGAAGCCAGGCACAGTGGCTCATGCCTGTAATCCCAACATTTTGGGAAGCCAAGGCAGGAGGACTGCTTGAGATCAGAAGGCTAAGACCAGCAAGTGGCAACATAGTGAGGTCCCACCTCTATAAAAAATTTTTTAAAAATTAGCTGGGTGTGGTGGTACACAACTGTAATCCTGGCTACTTGGGGAGACGGAGGCTGGAGAATCACTTGAGCCTAGGAGTTGAGGCTACAGTGAGCTACAATCACAACAGTGTCCTCCAGCCCGGGCAACAGAGTGAGACCTCGTCTCTTGCACAGACTCAGGAAAAAAGAATCTCTGTCCTCCAGAAGTTTAAAATTAGATCTTGCTCTGTTCCTCTTTTCTTGTCTCTACTTTTCATCATGGAAAAAAGTATTTCTGGAACTCATCTCTCCTCATCTTTGAGGACTTCTTTGCTCTTTAAGCATCAGCTGGCTCAAGTGAGCAACAAGCAGGTCCTCATCCTGAGTTCCTATCTGTTCTTAATCACAAAGATAGACTTAGGCATGCTTTCTCAATGATGATGACATGACAGTCCCGATGTGAGATGGTTAGATGTGAATTTCCAAATTAAAAGCTGTCCATGAAACCCAACTTTAATTAAACGGACTTAGGGCAAATATGCAACTTCCCCACAGAGAACTTTCAGGTATACAGTTCTTCGTTTATTCATTTAATCCATATGCACGGAATGCTTATTACAGATGAATGTTTATTACAGATGAATGTTTCTTCTCTGACCTGGAAGGATGAATAGAGCCTGAGAAAACTGAGTTGAAAGTGTGTGGTTTATTGAAAAAATGACGAAAGGAGAATAAGCAGCACTTAAAAACAGGAGGTAGACGGCCAGGCACAGTGGCTCATACCCATTATCCCAGCCTTTGGGAGGCTGAGGCAGGCAGATCACCTGAGGTTGGGAGTTCGAGACCAGCCTGACTCACATGGAGAAGCCCCGTCTCTACTAAAAATACAAAATTAGCCGGGCGTGGTGGTACATGCCTGTAATCTAAGCAACTCGGGAGGCTGAGGCAGGAGAATCGCTTGAACCCAGGAGGTGGATGTTGCAGGTGAGCCAAGATTATGCCATTGCACTCCAGGCTGGGCAACAAGAGCGAAACTCCATCTCAAAAACAACAACAACAAAAAACAGGAGGAATGGTTATGGGCAATGGGAAGGGGTATACGGAAGAACTCATGCAAACAAATCTACCAAAAATAAAGTAACAAATGCTGATCAACGGACAAAAACTAACCAGAAATCTGGGAATTGGATAGAGGTCATTTGTCAAGTTAAATTCATAATTTTCAACATGTAATACTGCCAGCTACTCAATTTTAACAATAATATGAGACAGTCTCTGCCTTTCAGAAATAAACATATTACTTGAAAAGGCAGAATACAAACATGATAGAAGAGAACCATACAAGACAGTAAATAATCAAATGCCAATTGAATAACAGAAGCCATAATTCAGACATAGTAAAGATTAAGGTGTCAGTTTTATACAAAGCTATCATGAACACGTTCCTAGAACTTTCAAAAGGCAAGACTGCTTCTAAGTACAAATAATAACAGCAAGGACAGCTGGTTGTACATCATTTTGTAACCACACCCATTAACGTGGATTAATGTTGGTGATATCATCAAATACTTCATAAGCAGTTTTACTCTCAACTGTCATTTCATTTTAATCATATTAGAGCGAAACACTTCAGATCTGAACTACTTCCAAATTGCACACAAGTCTAGATTTCTATAATTGCTGCAATCTTTCTGGTCTTTGGCAAATAAAATCCAATACAATCACAGCATTCACAGTTAAATTACAAAATACTTGATTAAAAATCTGCTTCAACTGTTATTTCAGTATTTTTAACCTAGATTCGATACTTTTTTTCCAAACTTGTCTTCAATGCTGTGTAACAGCTACAAAATGGGTTTTTTTGTTTGTTTGTTTGTTTTTTGAGAGGGAGTCTTGCTCTGTAGCCAGGCTGGAGCACAGCGGTGCTATCTTGGCTCGCTGCAACCTCCACCTCCTGGGTTTAAGCGATTCTTCTACCTCAGCCTCTCGAGCAGCTGGAACTACAGGTGCATGCCACCATGCCCAGCTAATTTTTGTATTTTTAGTAGAGACGGGGTTTCACCATGTTGGCCAGGATGGTCTCAATCTCTTGCCCTCACGATTGGCCTGCCTCGGCCTACCAAAGTGCTGAGATTACAGGCGTGAGCCACCGTGCCCGGCCAGCTACTAAGTATTTTATGGGTAGTCTTGTTTAAGAAAAAAGGGGAAAAACTCCTGGCTGGGTGGCTCAGGCCTGTAATCCCAGCACTTTGGGAGGCAGAGGAGGGTGGATCAGCTGAGGTCAGGAGTTTTGAGACCAACCTGGCCAACGTGGCAAAACCTTCCATCTCTACTAAAACTACAAAAATCAGCTGGGCGTGGTCATGCATGCTTGTAGTCCCAGCTACTCAGGAGACTGAGGCAGGAGAATTGCTTGAACCCAGCAGGAGGAGGTTGTAGTGAGCTGAGATGGCGCCAATGCACTCCAGCCTGTGTGACAGAGCGAGACTCCATCTCAAAAAAAGGAAAAAGAAGAAAAAAAAATAAATTTAAAATAAATTCTGGGTGCTTCCCATGTGAAACAAAGATACAAAAATTTAAGATTATTTTGTTTTTTTTAAGGAGGAACATTTAATAAAATGGGCTTAGTTGCCTTAAACACACACACACACACACACACACACACACACACACACAAATGCCAATATACAAAAAGCACATTACTATGCTTTTTTAATATACATTAAGAATTTTAATCTTTGTATATTAAATTAAGCTGTATCACAAAATGAATGTCTCTAAAGTCTAAATAGCGTATTTGAACAACTATGTTCAGTGACTGAACTCTTACTCCAGAGTAAAAGGTTGGTTTTTTTAGAAGGATGAATACGGATGCTATACCTGGGAGGAAAATATTTTCAAAAAGAGAACCAAATTAGAACAAAGTACCTCCGGAATCATTATGACTTTACTTTCAAAAAGGAAAAGTGACCAATTAAATATAGTAAATGAATACAATCCAAATCTACAGAGTTTACCTTATCTTTATCTCGCTTAGTAAAAAAAGCTCATCTACATAGCAATCCAAATTTCTGAGGCTACAAGCCAGGTGCAGTGGCTCACAACTCTAATGCCAGCACTTTCGGAGGCCAAGGTGGGCATATCACCTGAGGTCAGGAATTTGAGACCAGCCTGGCCTACATGGCAAAAACTGCCTCACCTGAACCCAAGAGGTAGAGGCTGCAACGAGCCGAGATCACACCACTGCACTCCAGCCTGGGCAAGAGAGTGAGACTCCATCTCATCTCCCCAAAAACAAACACCAAAAAATCAAATTTCTGAGGCTATAATTTTGGATAGATATATTATATTACGGAAGTTAGTGAAAAAAGTGTGTGAAAATCAGATACAGGTTGAGTATCCCTTATCTGAATGCCTGGGACCAGAAGTGTTTTGAATTTCTTTAGATTTTTGAAATATTTGCACACACATATTGAGATATGTTGGGAAGGAGACCCAAGTCTAAACCAGAAATTCATTTATGTTTCATATATACCTTAAGACAAGCAGGCTGAAGGTAACTGTATACACCATTTTTACATGTAGTTATTATAGACTAGAACACATTAGGTTTTCCCTTAGCCTCTCAGACTGTTCTTCCATCTCATATACTTTTCTATTTGGGAGCATTTCGAATTTTCAGATTAGGGATGTGCAACCTGTATTACTAAATGTTGTTAAAATAAAACCACACATTTGAAAAGAGCAAATCTCTTACCAGCTGAAATTCTCGACGCCGGTCATAGGCATTCTGTATGCCACTGTCTGCCCATAACGCTCTTATAGCAGGAAGATATTGTAAGAAAACCCTTGTTTCCACCATTCCTTGGGCTGCCATGGGGGCCCGGGTATCAAATGACATCATCTTGTCTCCATGGAGTTGGTTTGTGTTATCTCCCCAGGGAATATGAAGCTTTTCTCGAGCATCTACCAGCACCCTCATACCTTTGTTTAAAAAGAAGAAAATGTATGGGAAGAAGCCATTAGATATTATCGTAAGTTTTTACTCCAGTATTATTTCCTTATACTTCTGAATCAATCCAGACATACTTTCTCCAAAAATGGAGACCAACATCAAAAACTTCTCAGAGCTTAAAAAAATAACAGTCGCTCACTGTCTTAAAATTAGAGCCTTGGAAAACAAATACTATTAGCACAATTGCTCTTTCTGAAGGACTTTTAACATGTTCCAATTTATAAAATAACTTCTGCGGTAGTCGAAAAAGAACCAAACTCAAGAAGGAAAAAGAACTTAGGCTGCACAGACCACTGTCCAAGCATGGAAGAAAACACACAACCAAGATTTTATGAACTTAAAAGATGTTCACTTATGAACCACTAAGAACCAAGTATTATAGCTCCATGCTCTGTTACCTCCTTCGGCACCCTAACCCAACATTGAGTCTTCCAGGAACATTCAAAATTTAAAAACTTCTACCAGCCCGAGCTTCAATTCAGTTTAACTCACAGGACAGCCTTCGATTTCCCTAAAAGAAAGATCAACTGCAAAATAATACAAAATCGAACTCCAGCTCACAGAGGCTAGTTCAAGCTTGCTTTTTCTATCACTGATCTCTTATTTTTATTACCTTTGATCCATCTGAACAGTCACTTGGCTACTAGGAAGTCATTTGTTTGAATAACTGAAAAACTGGTGTTTTTTAGTTTTTTGTTTTTTAATAGGGATGAGGTCTGGCTATGTTGCCCAGGCTGGTCTGGAACTCCTGGGCTCAAGCCATCCTCCCACTCTGGCCTCGTTGCTGGGACTGCAGGAGTGAACCACCACGCCCAGCCTGAAAAAGCTGTTTTATTGTCAACTTTCATGTCAACTCAAAAACACTAGATTCCTGATGACTTACTTCATCTCATAATCAATGCTCAAAGTAGATCACACTTAACAACTCAGCGGACATTAAGAACGAGGTGTTTACCTGGCTCACAATCAGTTAACAAGTTGATGCTATTCATTAACATAATTCCTTAAGTTCAGCTGCATCAGGATACAAAGGTACCTTCGATTAAGGACTAAGGTAGAGTCTGCAGCCTTGAAAGAGACCTTAATTAGTTTTGTGCTAAACATTACAGCAGGGTAAATACAACTGTTCTTTACAGTTAACTGCAGAGGTACCGGGGCTAGAACTGGCTGCGGTCTGTGAGCTACTGGCCTTGAGATTCTCTCTAGTCATTCCACAATGCCTGCCTCTTCAAGCAGTTTTCCTTTACCCAAACGCTGGGAGGGGCGGGGTGGGAGTGACATGAAGAAGTCCCTTTTGTACTTCCTGAACAAAAATCCCACCTAAAAAAAACCTGCAATCTGTAGCAAGCTCCTAAACTGCTCCCTAGATAAAATAAAATCCAGAGGCACGTGAAATACCAGGCTCTGCACCTGAATTTTGCCAAAATGCCTTTTCTATAAAACATACATGACACACAGAAAAAAGGGTGTTATCTTTCAAATGACAAAATAAAAACCATCTTTTCGATTCTTTTGAATGCCCAGAAATAAACAACTTATTTTTCCACTTAAAAACAAAATTTAACTTAAAAACTACTGTCAATAAAGAGCAGAGCCAATTACCTAACTCAACACTCATTCATTGTCTCCATCTGTACAGGATCCACACGACTTTTAAGCCAGTCTTCTTACAACTACAACGTTTCATCTGAACAGAAGTAGTAGTGGCACTCCCTTCCCGCCAGCCCCAGCTACTTAGCGAAAAGGAGAGTGGACCGTGCTGCACAGCGATTATAGACAAACATCCTACCTGACAGTGACACTGGGGCGAAAAAGGTCAGATGCCACTTTTTTAGACTAACCGTATGGGTCTACTCTCTCCTGATCAGTACAGTCAACCTGACCCTTTCATACTCTTGCCCAAAAGGAGGCTGTCACCCTACGCCCTTGACAAGAAGGCAAAAAGTTCCCTTACTGCGACGGTTCCAGAACTTGGAGGCGGTCAAACAAGCATGGAGTTGGGAGTGCATGCGACCCCATGTGACTCGGGTCACTCAGCTGGGGTAGCGAGGTTCGGCCCACATCGCCCGAGCCGGGAATGGGGGTGCAGGGGCTGGGGCTGCTCTAGGGTCTTCCTGCGTCATCCGCAGCGGGGAGGACAGGAGCGGTCTCCCATACCCCGAGGCACCCAGTTCGCCTCACTTCCCTCTCGCAGGGGGCGAGACCAGGGGCGCGGTGGGGGGTGAGAGAATGGCCGTGACGCCCACCGGGGAGACAAGGGGGAGAACGGGGCGTCCCCGAGCAACCTCTCGCCTGGGGGGCGAGGGCATCCCAGGCAGGCAGGCCCGGTGCCCGGGGCGCGCCCCCTTCCCGCCAGCGACGGAGCGGACGAGGGCGGTGCCCGGCCCCGCGCCCGCCGCCAAGCCAGCCCCCGGCCCCCACGCGCGGGGCCCCCGTTCCCGGCCCGGCACCTTTGATCACGTTGCTGTAGATGGTGGGGCGGAACTCCTCGCGCGCGCGCTGGTCGAAGTCCTGCCCGTGGATGATCCGCATCTGCTTCAGGAAGGTGGACTTGCCGCTCTCGCCCGCGCCCAGCAGCAGGATCTTCACCAGCCGCTTCACGTAGGTCTTCTCCCGGGACAGGCATTTGTCGATCTCCTTGGACTTGCGTTGCTGCTCGGCCTCGCTGCTCGTCAGCAGGCAGCCGGGGAAGCACACGGACAGCACGGACCGCGACGGCAGGAAGTCCGCCATCTTGCCGCCGCCGCCGCCGCCTCGGCGGGCCCCTCCGGCTCCCTCCACCTCCTCCTCGGGCGGCGGGCGGCTCCGGCACCGCGGCTCGAGGGCGGGGAGCGCTGCGGCGGCCCGAGCGCGCCCAGGGAGGGAGGGAACCAGCGAACTGACTCGCAGGGCGGGCCGGGCAGGGCGGGCCAGGCGAGCGGGGGAGGGAGGGAAGGAGGGCGGACCCGGCCCGGGAGGGGCGGCGGCCCCGGCGCGTGCGCGCTCCCGCTGCTTCCCGGGGGCGCGCGCGCACGCCGCGGCCGCTCTCTCGCCTCCCTCCCCGGGCGGCGAGTCACGCGCTCGCTGTCTCGCTCCGGTGCCCGCACTCGCGGCCGCGGCTGGGCTCGCGCTGAGAGGGCCGGGGAGCCGCGGTCACGTGGGCCGGGCGGGGGAGTCTAACTTTCTGTTTCCCTTTCGTGGTCTGCGCCCACTTGTGGGCAGAAGGGCTCCTTCCCGTGGGCCTGGAGGCGGGAGACCGGGTCCCGGACGCGGCTCCTCGGGCTCCCGTTTAGCCACCCTTTCTCCCACATGCGCCTGCTGCCCGCTGCCACCGCCCACCGGACCCTTTTCGAGGCCACGGACTCGAAAGTTATTCGAACAGAACAGCCAGCGTGAGCCTGGCAGGCCTTTGGTGCACTTTCTTGATTTCATGTCCTTTTTTATTTTTTGAGATGAAGTCTCTCTGTCACCCTGGCTGGAGTGCAGTGGCGTGATCTTGGCTCACTCCACCTCCCACGTTCAGCCTCCCGAGTAGCTGGGATCACAGGGATTACAAACGCGCGCCATCACGTCCTACTAATTTTTTGTATTTATTTTTAGATACGGGGATCTCCTCCTATGTTGCCCAGGGTGGTCTTGAACTCCTGAGCCCAAGCGATCTTCTAGCCCCACCTCCCACAGTGTAGGGATTCCAGACGGAGCCACTGCTCCCTGGCCTGGTGTGTTTTCATAAGGTGACTCCCTTGACCTTCTACTTTCTGAATCCCAGAACAGTAATCAGACATCATCCGCCCACACTTCCAGCTCTTTCTGGCATTTTCAGACCCATGCCAGGCCCCCCGCCCCCAGGGGAAAGAGCTGGAGTTGATGTTCACCTGAGGTGTGCTACCAGGGGCTGTTAATGGCTCACTCATGTGCACTCCACCTGGGCTATGATGTGGCTTCGGGGACGCTTGGCCAGGCTGGAATCAGTGAGTGGCAGTAGGAGGGTGAGGTCATGGTGAAAATCCCCTACACCGGACACTGATGCAGGCTATTTCCAACAAGGAAGCAGATTCACAAACACCACGAGGAATGGGAGCATGCAAATGTTAGGTTTCCTGCCAGATTACAGAGGATGTGACCCGTCAGGGGACTTTTTTTCTGTCTTAGCAGCAGATTCAGGCCAGGACACCTGAAAGGCCAGGAGACAAGCCACAAGTGACAGCTGTGGGTTGGCAGAGAAACTGCTTAACCTGCACCCCTGAAAGCCAGCCTCTTCATTCTTAGTATTTAGTTTCAAGTTGAAAAAGAGAGTTTGGTCTGTCCCTGGTTTGGGCACTGCAGTATAGCTTTGGGCTCCTGAAGATCAGAAACTTCCTAGGTGTCAGGGAGTTGAGGTAAGAGGTCAGCATTCTGAGAAACTCTGGAACAGGTTTAAATTTTAAAATCGGTGCTAATCAGTTACTGTCTGGAGTCGGGTTAATGACAGAGAAGCCTAGACTCAGTAGATTGGCTGCAGTAAACAATGCCTGTAGTAGTAGGATTATCTCCTGTGGCTCTGGCAAGCCCATAGGGTGGACAACCTACAATATGCAGGTACAGAAGGCCCACCTCCGATATCTGTGGATTGATAGAGTCAGAATCACTGAACAGGGCTGTCACTTTTACTATCAAAGAAATGGTCAAAGTCTGCCATGGATGGAGAATTTCTCCATCATCTTATCTAGTGTTTGGGAGGCCCTGTTCTCTAACCATGCAAGGACTGGTCTCTCCCAGGATTGGGGCACAAAATGGGCCCTCAAGGACTGTTTCTGCATTGACCCCAGGTGCTAGCCTGAACTCCAACAAAGACAGAGGAGAGAAACTTGTAAGTTAGGTAGTTAACATCTTTTCTCAGCAGTGTGTGTAACGTAGTGGAAAACCAAGAATGCCCAGGAGTCAGGAAGGTATTCCTGCCCAGCCAGTTCATGTCGTGACATGTAGAGAAGCAGAGAAAGCTGTTCAAAGCCCTGCCTGGAAACAGACTTGGCTCACATTGACCTGGCCTTTCTACTCAGTATAGTTTTTAAAAAGAGACCTTTTTGACCTGAAAGGCAAATGAAGGAAAAGGAAAAGAGAAGAAGAAGAAAGAAAGAAAAAGAGAGCCGGGCGTGGTAGCTCATGCCTATAATCCTGGCACTTTGGGAGGCTGGGGCGGATGGATCACTTGAGATCAGGAGTTTGAGACCAGCCTGGCCAGTTTGGTGAAACCCTGTCTCCACTAAAAATACAAAAATTAGCTGAGTGTGATGGCGTGTGCCTGAAATCCCAACTACTCAGGAGGCTGAGGCAGTAGAATCGCTTGAACCTGGGAGGTGGAGGTTACAGTGAGCAGAGATAACGCCATTGCACTCCAGCCTGGGGCCTGGGTGACAAAGTGAGACTCTGTCTCAAAAACAAAAAAAAGAAGGAAGGAAGGAAGGGAAGGAAGAGAAGAAAGGAGAAAAGGAAGGAGGGAGGCAGGGAGGGAGGAGGGAGGGAGGAAAAGAAAGAAAGAGGAGAGAGGAAAAGAATGAAAAGAAAAGAAAGACCTCTTTGGGTCCAACCTGGGTTTGGCAGCAGCTGTCCAGCTTCTAACTGGTGATCAAGACACCTTGTAAATTGTTATCATAAAAATGAGTTAGAGATTTGGTGGTTTCTCAAAGAGTTCAACATAGAATTGCCATACGACCCAGTAATTTTACTCCTGGGTATAACCCCTCAAATACTAAAAAGAACTGAAGACAGTGTTCAAACAAAAACTTGTAAACCCTGTTCATAGCAGCACCATTTATAGTAGCCAAGAGATTAGCTGGCCACAGTGGTTCATGCCTGTAATCCAGACAGCTTAAGCCAGGAGCTTGAGAGCAGCCTGGCCAACATGGTGAAAACCCATCTCTACTAAAAATACTAAAATTTAGCTGGGCGTGGTGGCAGGCACCTGTAATCCCAGCTACTCAGGAGGCTGAAGCAGGAGAATCTCTTGAACCCGGGAGGCGGAGGTTGCATTGAGCTGAGATTGCACCATTGCACTCCAGCCTGGGCAACAAGAGTGAAACTCCATCTGAAAACAAACAAAAAACCTATTACATACTATACTTATTACCTGAGTGACTAAATAATCTGTACACCAAACACTCGAGACAAGCAATTTACGTGTATAACAAACCTGCATATGTACCCCTAAACCTAAAATAAAAGTTTTTTTAAAACCCACAACAAAAAAGGAATGACCATAAGGTGTCCAAATGTCCATTGATGAATGAATGGGTAAACACAATGTCATATAACTATGCAATGCAATTATTCAGCCATAAAGGAATGAGATGCTGACACATGCTACAACATGGATACTCTTTAGAAATACTAGGCTAAGTGAAACCAAAGGCCACATATTATAAGGTTCCACTTATGTGAAATGTCCAGAATAGGCAAATCCACAGAAACAAAAAGCAGATGGGGTGAGGGAAGATGGGGATAGACTGCTTAACGGGTACAGAGTTCCCTTTTGGGATAATAAAAATGTTTTGGAAATAGATAGTGATGATGGTTTCAGAACATTCTGAATGCACTAAATGCCCATTAATTCTGTACTGTAAAATGGTCACACGATACATTTTATGTTATGTGAATTTTTCCACAGTAAAAAAAAAAAAAATGAGTTGGGGGAAAAATATATTTAGATAGATGTGTATCTACGTATATAAATATATATGTATCTACATCTGTATCTATATATGCGTATGTAGATATATATATATCCCCCCCACCGGCGAGTTGGAGCCTTGCTCTGTCACCCAGCTGGAGGGCAGTGGCACAATCTCAGCTCACTGCAACCTCTGCCTCCCAGGTTCAAGCAATTCTCCTGCCTCAGCTTCCTGAGTAGCTGGGATTACAGGCACAAACCACCATGCCCGGCTAATTTTTGTATTTTTAGTAGAGACCAGTTTTCACCATGTTAACCAAGCTGGTCTCAAACTCATGACCTGGTGATCCACCCTCCTTGGCCTCCCAAAGTTCTGGGATTACAGGCATGAGCCATCACGCCCTGCTGGAAAAATATTTTCTGTAAAAAATCATTGGGATCATTTAACATTGAAATGCTCACAGTGTGCAACATTCAAAGAATAAAAGTGCCCTTGTGTTTATTTCAAAATAATACCAACCATTGAAATTTGTTGCAACAGAAGGAAATCTAGCAGTTGCTTCAGGCTACATTGTAATCTTAATAGTGGTATATTAATTTTCAGATACATTGTTTTGTAACTTTTAACTTTAAAATTCAGATACATTGTTCTGTAACTTTAAAAAAAATCCAAACTTTTTAAGGGAGTATAAAGTCTACTAGTTAGAATTGAATCTGCTGGATGCTACATTTCCAACAGACCCACATGTTAACTCATTGGAAGCATCTGTATTGTTGCTAGCCAGTTAATCCATATGCAAATGGATTCAGATGCCCTGTGGAGCTGTGATAAAATAATTGCAATAGTTGTTTAGTTGCAATGCTCATTTCTTTCTGGAAACTCAACGTTTAGCATGAGTCTTGCAGGATAAAGGTGTGATTAAAAAAAATACATTTCCAAATAGCTTTTCTCTTCTTGTCACCTTAGAAAGAAAGAAGCTCTTTCCAACAATACTGCCAGTCTTGAAATCTATGCATAACTCTTCTCTTGGAACTGAAAGATAGGCTTCCTATAGTTAGAATTTATTTTCAATTAAAAACAAAAAACAAAAAACAAAAAACAGAAAAAAAAAAAAAGGGTCTTACTTAGCTTCTTTGCCAATCTTTGTGCCAGATTACTTTGGGCTGTTTACAAAAATCAGAATCATCCACAAAGAACAAAAAATGTGTCACCCTCAGACGTATTCAAAAGAATGTGCCAAAGGCCCTAGGAAGAGTTCCAAAAGAGGAGTTAAAAATTTTTTTTGATGGGAAATATAATTTAAATAAGTGTTTCCCCTGCCAAGGTGACTACTCACTACTCAGGATGGGACAACGCCCATTTAAATATGTTTATTTAAAAATCAGTCACATT